TTGAGCCCTTGGAAGGCACCCGGCTCAGCGATCCGCCCGCACGAAGGACTTGTGTCTCCACTCATGACCGTGCTGTCGAAGGGGGCCTGCCTGCATGCTGGCCGCAGGCAGAGGCCCAGTGTTTCACAGGAGGCTGCAGGACCTCTGGTCAGTGCTGCTGTGGGGACTCCCTCCCCAGGATGCTGACCTAGACACGTGCTGGTGGCCGCACAGGGGGAGGGGCCTGGGCTCCAGGCATCTGCGCTCTCATTTCTGGCGTAAGCCTGTGTGGATGGACATCACCCTTCTAGCAGCCTTGTGAGGTCCTACCTGAGTCTGCCCCAATGCATGGTTAAGGAAACCGAGGCTCAGAGGGCCAGGCTTGTCCCCATGCCCCGCACCCTCCTTGTTTGTTTTCTTCCATTGGAGACATGGTCCCTGCCGTGCCAGGGGCACCTGATAAAGGTGGATGCCGTTTGTAGGTGGAGATGTTCATTGTTGTGCTGCGGACCTCCGCAGCCCTGGGCCCTGACACTGCCCCTGAGCCAGCCTCCTCTCAGACTGGCAGATCTGCTCGTGCCACTTAAGGGTCCCCTGCTGGTTGGCTACTCTGCTGGGTCCTCCAACTGCAGGGCTGTTTCCAGGAGCTTTGAGGGACAGACCCGCCACCTTGTTTCTAAGTGCATTGTACAGAGCAGGGGAGTGAAGGGCACGTCGGGTGTCGTGGGGGCAGTGACTCACCGTCTGGGTCTGGAGTTGGCTTGTGGAGGGGGAAGGAGGCAGACTGGTGGTGGCCGAGGAGGGGGCTCAACGACCTGCAGAGGGTCTCTGCATGAGTTAGGGTTTCTTTTCCTTCTTGGGGAGAGAGCCCTGGGCTGCCTCTCAGCACCTCACCAGGCTGGTGAGGCCCACAGCTCCCGTCCCCGGACGCTTACCCCTGGGCCCCGGATGGGGCTCTCGGGAGACCCGGGCCTGCCCCTGCTGAGCCCCCTTCCCTTCTCTGAATCTGTTTCTCCATTTCTAAAGGCGGGCTTTGGATGAAGCCGTCCCAAGTTCCACTGGGCTCCGGTGTTAAATCTGATGCCTCCTTCCAGGCCCCTCGGCCTGTCCTCCCGCTTCCTTGAGCTGGGGGTGAGATTCAGCAGGCTTGGTAGGACTAGGTGTCCGTAGACACACTCCCACCCTGTGAGGGGCTGGAGGGGGTTTCAGACTGGGCCATGTCAGGCCCAGCTATGCTATTCACAGGGTCCATCTTTTTGTGAAAACATAGGGCCCTTTGTTCAAACATTTTTAAAGAATTTTAAGATGGGGATAGCAGAGCAAAACCAAGAGCAGGCCCTTCTGAGTGGGAGGCCCTGGGGTGCTGCTCGGGTCACACCCCAGCCCAGTGGTCCTGGCTCCCTGGCACACTCTGGATGGGGACACCTCCTGTGTGCTGTCCCTGGGAAGGGGGTGGGCTTCATCCCACCAGGATTCTTGAGAACCCTCCCCTGAGGCTTGGGCAGGGATTGCTGTGCACGAGCTGGGGGTCTCAAGAACGGGGCAAGTTCTGGACCCTCGGGTGGTGTTTGTTGGTGTCAGAAGGAGAGGGTGGTCCAGGTGGATGGGCTCTGGAGGGATTCCCCCCGACTCCCTGGCAGCAGGGGGTAGTGGGGTCGGCTGGGGTTGGCTGTGGCCGCAACCTGAAGGACTGTCTCCTCCCTGGATCTGCTTCTGGGCAGGGATATTCATTCATTCATTCATTCATTCATTCATTCATTCATTCATTCAATGAACATTGGTGAACTCTTGCTCTGTGCTAAGCCCTGGGAATTCGGGTGGAATGAAGTGGATCATGTCCCCTCCCTGATGGAGCCCATAACCCAGCAGCCTCAAGGATAAACGGGGCTGGGAATCCAGGGAGCTCGGCTTCTCTCCCTGGGGTCACGGGTTGGCTGGACCTAGGGGATGGGTCATCCGGGGAGCCAGGAGCAGCACCCTCACTATGATCCCACCCACCTCCTGGGCCTGGGGGGCTGGAAGTGAGGAGAGGAGACAGGGCTGACGTGGGACCCGTCCTCCCTCTGAAGGGGCAGTCCTCAAACCTGGGCTCCTCCTTGGGCATTCCTGACTGTCTGGAAGGAGTTGTGCGGGCGGGCGGTGGGCTCAGGGGGTGGGAGGAGACCGTTGGTGACGGCTGGGGCACAGAAACCCCAACTCCCCTTCCAGATTTTTCTCCCACCGGATCAAAGCACCCCAGAGCTGTGGGAACAGGCCAGCCACTGGAAAATGGTTCCTGGGATATTTCATTTCCAAAGCTGTTAACAGAGGACCCCCAGAAGGGCAGCCCATAGTTTTTAGTTCTTTGAAACAAGTTTCAAAAAGTAATGAAAACATGGGGCCCTTGTTCAAACACTTGGGCGACTTTCAGGACGGTACCCGCAGCGCAGATGGTGGAGACCTGGCCTTACCCCAAGTGCCGAGGAGCATCGCCCGGGGTCCCAGGTGGGCTCGGGTGCTCCTTGGCTGTGCGCACAGTGCTTACGCTCTCTCTGCTTTCGTTCCTTCATCTGTCGGTGCGGATGATACCTGCAGCTGCCCCCTGGGTCCCGGGTGTAAAGAGGGTTGATGTCCATGGGCTGAGTCACCTGGTGCGGCGCGTGGGTCGGGGACAGAGCTGACGCCAGCGAGCGTGAGCAAGAGCGCGGCCCCTTCTCGGTGGCTGCTCGCTCCGGCATCCTCACTATCACAGGGAGCTGGGTATTACTTCCTCTCGGCAGGTGGGGAACTGAGGTATGTCAGGCTTGGAGGGGCTGACCCCAAAGCAGAGGGCTCCTTCTGCCACCAGCTGCAGAGTCAGGGGTGCCTGCTGGGCTCCCCCAAGGCTGACCCCTCTTGGGGGGCTCCTGGTCTCAGCCCCGGGCAAGGACGGCCCCGGTTCCTGGCCCCCGGAGCCCAAATGCTCATTCAGCTTCCTGGGTTATGGTGGTACCAGCAGAGCAATTCTGTCCCCTTGCATGAGGAGTGGACGGTGTGTATTCTAGATGGCAGAGGGTGACTTGTGAGTGGATGGCCAGGGCAGGGGGACGGGGCCCTGGCCCGGGGCACCCGTCTCTCCTGGCTTCATTGCCTTAGTCATGTCAGCAGGAGCCGCGCCCAGCGCTGGGACATGAAGCAAGACACAGTCCCCTCCCCCAAAGGGCTCATCATCAAGTGGTGGAAACTGGCCCCAGGAACGGTGCTGGAGGGGAGAGCACAGGGTCTGGGGAAGGGTGGGGGGCATGAACCAGGGGAGAGGCTTGGGAGACTTCCTGGAGGTGCTGTTTGTTAGACTGAGGTCGGAGAGTCCAGGAGGAATTATCCAAGGAATTGGGGGTGGCGGCAGGAGGAGGGTCCCAAAGGCCCCGTGGGGTTGGTGCTCAGAATGAAGGGGGTGGGTCTAAGTGGAGAGCCCTGCCCAGAAGGGGGTGCGCAGGGCACTAGCCCCGCCTACAGAGGGACCCCAGGGCAGGAGTCCCAGCAGCAGAAACCACTGGACAAGGAGCTCAGCCTGCAGAAGGGCCAGAGCGCCATGTTAGGGGGTGAGCTCCCCACCCCTTGAAGTGTGTGGGTAAGGCTCTGATAGCTGGGGTGTGATAAGGATGTTGGGTCGAGGATTTTACCTTGGAGGGGCTGGATTAAACAGACTTTGAGGTCCCTTCCAGCTGTCACACTCTGGCTCCTCGAAATCCCCTCTGGGAACAGCAAGACTATAAAATATAAATCAATAGGTTAAAAATACACTTGTCTCCTGCACGTCCAGGCCCTGTCACTCTGCCGGCCTCCCTCGGTCTTCGGAGGATTCCTGCTTGGCTCAGGCAGCCCGAGAGCCCGACAGGAGAAAATTGCTTTGTTCCTGAGCAGGGCAGGGCTGATCGCGCCTCTGCGGACGAGGCCTCGAGTTTGTTTTTGATCATCGCTGCCTCCAGGACGCACACTGTCCCGGCGCGGCCGGCATCCCCGCCTCATGCCTTCCCTGCTTTCATCACTGGGCAAAGGAAGATCAGCCAGACCGCGTGTGGGGGCAGCCACGCCCCCAAACCCGAGAGCCCAGGAGGTTGTGCTGACCCCAGATTAGCTGGGAGCAGTGGGGAGGGTGTTCCCCGGTTACCTCCCGGGGTTCCCATGGCAACGGGAGTGTTAGGAGCAGCTAATAGGGACTGGTAAGGAGTGAAATGAAATTTGATGTATGGGAAAATGCATCGGCCAGTGAAGTAATTGGGGAGAAGGCACTTTTTCCCCCTGGCCAGGCAAATCCTCACTTCCTTTCTGTTGTTCTTGCTCCTCCGCGTGTCTGCGAGAACTTTTGGGTGCTCTTAAACACAGGTGTTGTCATCAGGACGAGCAGTTGCCTTTGCTGCAGGGGCGTGAGATGGGACAGGCTTGGTCACGCGGGGCTCAGTGCGTGTGGTGAGTCGTTTGGCAGCCTCGAAACAGCGTGGGCGCCGTCGATGGTGTGGGGCCCACCGCTGGCCCACTGGGCTGTTCTTGGGCCTTCCACACCCCATGTCTGGCTCCTCCATCAGCCAGCACTTGGAGGGGAGTAACCACAGCCGGCCCTTCTGGGGCCTCCTCTTGTCTTGGGTGCAGCCCCGGTGGGTGTTCTTGGCTGTTCTCCAAGTCCCCATCTTCAGAAGCCTTGTCAGATGCGTTCTCTGCCCAGCCTGGGCCACCCCCGCGGCTGTCCCTTTGGCCCCAGTTTGAGATGGTCCAGGGTTGGGTTTGAATGTTGCCTGGCAGCTACCAGGTGGACCTCACGGGATTGGGATGTTCCCAAAGTCACTGTGAAGAGCGGGGTGAGGTTTCGGAGCAGACACAAGCCTTGTGTCTAGGCGCTCTGCTGCAGGGTGGCCGGAGACCCCGGGAAGCCTGACAGAAAGGCCTAGGCAGCTGAGGGTCAACACAATGCCCCAAATCCTGGGTGGTGGTGGGGGGGGTGTCATCATATTCCTCTTTCAGAGCCTTGGAACCCACTGATTTCTGTCTCTCTGTTGCCACCACAGGTGATCTTGATCCTGACGAAGTATTACCATGCAGACATGGGGAAGGTTCTGGAAAGTTCTCTGTGGCGGTAAGTCACCCTGAGGGTGGGCCTTTCTCCTTACGCACCTGCACATTTCCCTGGGCCGAGGGCCGAGACCCCCACGCCCGGCTAGAGCAGCCCTGAGTTGACAGTCTCCCAACTTCCTTTTGGCTACGCAATGCGTGTGGGAGACATGGAGGGCAATTGAGGGTTTCGTGGGTGGGCACACACAGCCCTGGAGAAGAGACAGCCCTTTAGAAAGCGTCTTCGCTTGCTTTTCTTTCCGTGTTTCCTCCCCCCTTCCTTCTCTCCTCCCCGGAGGAAGAGGGTTTGCATTGTGAATTCAGGTCAGTGCACAAATGCCCTCCACCCGTGCCCTGGGCTTCAGACACGGCTCCCAGAGCCCACCAAATACGCCGATTACCCTCATTGTGCAGACATGTTTCTTTCTTCCTGGCTCAGCTGAAGACCTTGGTAAATAAATAACCCACCGGCGTCGGGGGATATCTCTTTATATGTGAGATGTGAATTCAGCCCAAGAACATTAAGCAGCCCCTTTGATGTTTTAAACGAGGTGGGAGAGGAGGTTTTGAGAAATCACTTCGGTTACTCTCGTCTTCGATATTTACACCTGCTCACCGGGGAAGGGGGAAGGGAGGCTCCCAGCGTCCCAGGCTGTCCTTTCAAAGCTCTTCTTGGGCGAGGATTCTGTTTCCTGCAAGCGCCGTTCGCCGCTCCCACATTCCCTGGGTGTTGAGCCATTTTGGTTTTCAAGATGTGTTTCTCAAGTAATAATTAATTCATTTTTCTATTTGAAATCCATAAACAACACCAAACCTGCTCATCAGGACTCCTGTGTGTGTGTGTGTGTGTGTGTGTGTGTGCGCGCACGCGGCCCCCTCGAGTTGATTTATTTTGGGATTTTGGCTTTGCTTCTAGGGCAGGAGCATGATGATTGATTTTGTTGGCTCTTGGGGGATTTCCGTGATGCTTTGGGAAGGTGTTGAAATGGCATCTCGAGCTGGGTCCTTTCCTTGTTGTATAAGGGATGGTGTCGCCTTGGGGCCCCTGGCCTGGTCACTGGGGGTGCTGATGGTGCCGAGTCTGGGGAGTAAGCCACTTGTACTGCCCTGCGTTCGTCTAATGCCTGTAGCCTGAGCACCTTTGCTAGTCGGCTCCTCTCGGCCGGGTTCACCCTGTAGACGCCCCAGGCTGCCCCTCATTTCCCCCACCAGCCTCAGGGAAAGGAGCCCGCAACCTGCAAAGAGGACAGATGTTGTCCTGCCCGCCCCCCCATGACCTCATGTGTTGGTGGATTTTCATCTTGTGCCTCAAAGCAGCTCACCCACCAAGGAGAGGTAGGAGGGTTGCTTTCAAAAATGCCACTCAGTGTCGTGGGAGGTGCTCGGCATTTGGGATGAGAGTGGAAAATGGCCTGAGCACTATAGTCCCAGCGACGTCTCATTGCAGCCCTTTGAGGGTTTGTGTTCTGGGGCTGGTTTCAGGCTGAGGCCCCCGGGGAAGGGCTGGCCCGTGGAGGGCGCTTCCCCTCGCTAGGTGGTTGGTCCACGGCGGGTGCTGGGGCTACACAGTGAACAGAGGCACCTGAGTCTTCTCTTCTCCCAAGCAGATTTCTGTAGTCCCCTCATCGGCCCGGCCTGCGGCATGCCGGCCGAGTCCTGAAGTGGGGGCTCTTCCTCCCTCTGCACCCGCTGACCGTCCCGAGTGCCGGGGCTCCTCCACTCTCTGCAGCATCTCCGCGGGCCGCACACGGAGGAGGTGGGGTGTCATAAATGTTGTTTCGACAGGGAACAGCCCTCTCCGGTGTGATCTGTGCCCACGGGACAGAGCTGCCCATCCTCATGGGGGACACGGTGGGGACAGCGGATTTGGGCCAGCCCCGTGGCATGGGGGCCGGGCCTTCTTGCTTACAGGCTCCAGACTCAGATTCTTCAGACGAAAGTAGAGAAGCTGAGAGAGAGGCCAACCACCCACCTCGGGGCTGCTCCGACGGGGGCTCCCTCCGCTCCGCCCCGAGCCTCAGGTCCTGACCTGCCCCTGCCTCGGAGAGTGTGCACCCAGCCAGCCGACCTGAAACGTCCCTAGAAGGGCGCACAGTCTCGATGGAGGTTTTCTTCAAAGCAAATCAACAGACTTTAATTCTCTATGTTCTCATCACTGTCTGAACGCAGATATTTCCTCTCCCTTATTAAAAATACATGCAAAGGCATTAGTCATGTCAGGATCACCCCTGTCCCTGTTCAGCACCATTCCTTCCTGTTTATCTGTCTCACGCGGACGTATTTATAGAGTCAGATGTGGAATAGCGTCTCGCGTTCTCCTTTCTTCACGCATCTGTTTCCAGTTTGTCCCTGTGGGCCCGTGTCTGCATCAGCGTGTTCTGGGGCCGCAAACTCACGGGGGAGTAGATTCCTTCTGATGCTAAGCCACGCCGTCACCATAAAGCGTGTAGACTTGTGGTTTTCCTCCTCATTTTGTTCCCTGGGCAGAATCTCGGGGAGTGACAACCGAGCCAGAGAGCGAGCCAGAGGGTGAGCGGTTCCCGGCGGGCTGGCCTGCACCTGCTAGGCCCCGCGGCGCGAGGCCGCTCTCCTTTGTGTCCCTTGGGTTCTTGGCGAGGGTGAGCAGCCTCTGTGTTTAACTGCCACTCACACTTGGTCTTGCGAGCATGATCGGCTCATATTCTCTCTATTTGGGGACTTGGGTGAGCGTCTTTAGAAGTGGAAAGATTGCCACTGGTCTTGTGTGGGGTGCCACGCCTCTGCCATCTGCCGTTACAAGGCCCGCGTGGATGGGGCTGGCAGAGCCTGTGCCTGGAGCACACGTATTAAAGCCACCCACAGTGGACGCGCCCCCAGCCTCCCAGGGATTCTCCTGTGTGGTCACCAGCAATACATTTTTTTAAAAAGATTTTATTTATTTATTTGGCAGAGAGAGAGAGAGAGCACAAGCAGGGGGAGCAGCAGGGAGAGGCAGAGGGAGAAGCAGGCTCCCTGGTGAGCAGGGAGCCCAATGTGGGGTTCAATCCCAGGACCCTGGGACGATGACCTGAGCCAAAGGCAGACACTTAACCGTCTGAGCCACCCAGGTGCCCTGCCATCAGTACATTTTTAGTGACAGGTATGGTATTTACATTCTGGAAATGGCTCCCCGAAATCTAAGCTGAGTGCATCTTTCATTGTCCCGCATTTCATGGGCTGCACGTCAGCAGCATCTGCCCCCAGTGGGCTTCGCTGATCCAACAGCCTGCCCCTTTCTTTGGGGTCGGGCCGCAGTGAGCCCGTCCCTGGGAGAGCAGGTTGGCTTCAGAGCTGGTCCCCACCAGCCCCTTCGGTCCTGGAGCCCCAGGGCTGAGGGCAAGCGGAGGAGCACTCTTGCTCAGACCAGCCTGCCCGGCACTTGCCTAATGTCCATCTGTGGGAAGGTCCTGGGGCCACTGGAACAAAGGATGAAAGCAACAGGAGTTTGTTCTCTCCCAGCCCCCAGACAGAGGTGTGGGCGGGGCCGGGCTGCCCCTGAAGTTCCAGAGCAGCGTCCTTCCTGTCTCTTCCCGCTCCTGGGGCTGAGGGCACTCCAGGCCCTGTCCCCGTGGCCTCTCTTTTATGTGTCCTCCTCTGTGTGTGCCTTATGAGGACACTTGCCATTGGATTTTAGGGCCCGCCCGGGTGATCCGGGGTGATCTCATCTCAAGAGCTGTAACTTAATTACACCCACAACCACCCCTTTTCCAAATGAGGCCACGCACCGTCCCTGGAGGTCATGGACACGTGGGCTTGGCTCTGCCGTTCAGCTCACTGCACGGTCATCACCCCTCTGGCCACACCACCCGGATCTGACTTCCTCACTGGCTCTTGCACGTGTCCCTGGTTCTCCATCCTCAGCTGTGCTCCCTTTCCATGGCTTCATCCTTGGTGGGGCCCCGTAGCCCTTCCCAGCTTCTCCCCCTGCTGCCCCTCCCACCCTCTCCCCTTGAGACGCACACACGCACACGGTCTGGTCCTGCTCACTCATCCCTGCTGGCTTCCCAAGGCTGACACCTGTGCATCCCAACCCTCCTTGTCCGGGCGCGGGGGATTTCAGCGGCCAGAGCCGGAAGCTATAGAGGCAAGTGTAGATCGTGGGCACTCACGGTCCAGCAGAGAGTTGATGTTCAGTTTGTGTCTACTCCGTGGTAGAGCCGTGGCGGCTTCAAGGTGAAGATAAATAGTGTTTGGAATAGGAAACTAAGAACGACATGATCTGTAGAGGCTCCACCCCCCCCCCATACCCTGCCTATAGGAGGATGTCGCTCGGTTCTTCTCCTGGTTCGGGGCTATTCCCAGGGGCTGGGGGACACGGGGCGGCCAACGGGAACTGAGGGGGTTCCCAGGACGCTGGGCCAGCAGCTTGAAAACTGAGACCATTCCTGGGCAAACAGACGAGGGCACCCCTGAAACAGAGTGGTGATGTGGTTCTTGGGAAATACGTGACCTAGAGAACTCTTTACATCTACAGGGCCATCCTAGGGGATGGTGTGGGGTCCAGGAGCACAGACTTGGCTCTGAGGCTGTCGTGCAGAGTAGGAGGGGACTGGGAGCATCCTGAGCCAGGGAGAAAGTGGACCTTGGCCTCCCTTTCACTGCCCTGCTGCTCTCTGCTGTGGCGCAGGCCCTGGGACTGCCCGCAGCCTCACATGGAGCATGGCTGTGGGCAAAGCCACGTGAAATGGGAGCCCCAGGCCCATAGCCCACTTGACACTGTGCCAGCCCCATCTCTGAACCAGGATGTATGAAGGCCACGCCAGCCCTGCTGTTCCCCTGGCACGTGTGATCTTGGGCAGGACCTTCAGCCAGGGGCAACCTCGGGAATACTGGGGAGGGTGTGGGTCTCAGCTTTTCTCCCAGAGTGACTTGGTGGCATCCCCTCCCTTTGGTGGTTCTCTTCCTTCTGTGTTGAATTAACCATGCCATCTTTATTGTATACAAGGATCGTAGAATGGATTGGGTACCATGTGTCAGAGATAGTCCAGTGCTCACCAAGTAATCCAA